ATAAATATGCCAGACCAAAAAAAAAAAAAAAAATGTAAATGGCCAAGGAAAATTGAAAATAAAAATTGTGATTGTTTTTTCTCTTAAAACAGCCTATCTTGAATCTTGTAAGGAGAAAACTCCAAACCACTGACTCATGAAAAATTAACTTGCAGCTTCATGCCCACACATCCAAAGTATAGGACGCTTTGCTATCAAAGAGCTGCTTCAAATTGACAGATACGTTATTTTCATCTTCCTCAATAAGGCAAGAGAAATGCAAAGATCAATTTCACAAATTATTCCCCCTCTAGAGAAGTACATACTATAAACATTAATACTGCATTCTGATAACAGCTCTAATTATTACGTTAAAGTAGCATTACATTTATATTTGTAAGTGTGAGCCTTGCCTTCTTGCCATGAGGCTCAATCACTAAGGTCATTCCTGCTCCTTGCATTCTAATGTAGTTCATGCATATGTGTTATGTATTTATTTATTTATTTTTGGTTGACTTTTGAGTGTTGTTGTTGTTATTTGCCATCAAGTCGGACGCAACTCATAGCGACCCCTCCTTGGGTTTCCGAGGCAGTATCACTATGGAAGAAGATTGCCTCATCTTCCTTCCGAGGAGTGGACGGTGGGTTTGAACCGCCAGCCTTCTGGTTAGCAGTCAAGTGCCTTAGGCACTACGCTATATATTTTAAATATCTCTTGCTGGGCCAGCACAAGCTAAGCTCAAACAATTTTGTTGTTAGGGAAATGACTCATTGGAGAATGTAAATTTTTTAGAAAAAAAAATGGTCCTTTCATTTTTCAACCTGCTTTTGCGTAGGTAACCTATATCACTCTTCTTGTTTGGATTGTGTTGTCTTTCCCCCATGTGTGATGTTTTGTTTGTTTATTTTTCACTTTTTTTTTATGATTGAAGTTTCTTTTAAGTAATTCTACACCTGAGTTAGCAGATTTACTAGTATAGGCCAGTAGTGAGATGTCAAAGAATTTTGGCATTCACCAGGAAGTAATTACACTGACTTAATTCCAGTGTCAGGTTTTAGCTTTATAACCAAACATCCAAACTTGTTTGGTTCCTTGGATCACAAAGACTCCCTCACAGCAAGCATTCTTAACCTATGTCCATGAATTTCACAGGAGTCTTTTGATAGACTTCAAGAAGTCTGTACAATCTCTGACACTGTATAAGAATTCTTTGTGCATTTTTTGGGGAGGAAATGCTTAGTTTTCATCACCCCAAAATGAGTAAGAACCAGTCTTCTACAGGGTACTTTCTAGTTGAGTTTAATGTAAAAAAAAAAAAAAAAAAAAAAAAACCTTATTTGATGACGATTTCAGAATTATTTTTTTTTTCAATGTTAGTTTTTAAAAAATAAGATTCAAATAACCCTGTATGCCATGTCTAAAGCCTTTTTTCAAAACTTTACATTAAGAATATTAGGTGTAAACACTGCTTATCTATAGGCATTTCTTACTCAGTCTCACTAATTTACAGGAGACTAATGAATACTCTTTCTAATTTTATTTTTTAATTAGATTTGGGGTTTTAGTATTTTAAGGAAGATCCAGCTTCCTGTTTCATGCAAATAAGAGGGTTAAGTGTCAGTTACAGAAATCATGTCTTGAACTCTGTTATCAAAATGTATGAACTCAGTAAAACACAGGCGAATAAAGAGACATTTGCCCAATATTTGAATGCCCTTTGATAAAAATTATCTTCAGAATAAATCTCTTACAGCTCTGTTACAGACCGAATATCCTAAGAGCTTATTAAAGAAACAGTTTGGCAAATTACTTGTCTCCCACTAAGCTACCTGTCTGGAAATGTGAACTTAATTAAGGAGAATTATAACAGATTTCTTAAAGGTCTTAAAAGAAATAGACTCATTTTCTTTAGATATACCTTTGAGAGGCATTTAACCCTAGGGCCTCTTATCAAAAACAAAATAGGGATTGGAGGCATCAATAGAAAGATGATACTTCCTAAGAAATTGTACCTCCTCATCTGTGAATAGGTTTACGCGATTATGGAAGAGGATCAGGGCCAGTGGCAATCCAGGCATTGTTGTAGTGGTAGCACCACATTTTTGTGCAGTCAGACACAAATTGGAACTCTGGTGGTGATTACCTTGGAAAATGCCAGAATGGCACCAGTCAGGACCAAAGTCCCACAGATAGTAGTGTCCTGCAAACTCTCTTGTATGTAGCACTCTTTTGGTGACCATGTTTCCTGCCCTAAGGAAGCTACACTCAAATGGGCACCACAGTATAGTGTTAATGTCTGAAGACATTTTTGTTTGTCACAATTAGGGAAGTGCTACTGGCACTAGTGGGTAGAGGTCAAGAATGCTGCTAGACATCCTATAATATACATAACAGCTCCCTTGTTCTGCCCAATATGGCAAAAGAGCCAAGGCTGAGAAGCACTGCTTAAGGCCGTGCCACTTTGGTCCAGCCTGGGGTATTTTAACAACATGCTCCATCAAGGCCCACACTTCTTACAAGGCTACTAGAAATTAGTGAGTTTTCAAGCTACTTTCGGGCAGAGTAAAGTGAAAAAGATATTCTAAAATATCTTCTCTTCTCCAAAATGCAGATTAAATGTTACCTCCTATAGGAAACTATTTCTCATCTGTCTTAGTTATCTAGTGCTGCTATACCAGACATACCACAAGTGGGTAGTTTTAACAAACATAAATTTTTCTCACACTTTAGGAGGCTAGAAGTCTGAATTCAGGTGCAGTCTTTAAAGGAAGACTTTCTCTCTGTCGGCTCTGGGGTATGATCCTTGTCTCCTTGAGCTTCTAGTCCTATGAAATCTTCATGTGCCTTGCATTTGTCTTCCCCCATCTCTGCTTCCTTCTCTCTCCTTTTATCGCTTGTAGAGGTTGACTCAAGACCCACCCTACGCTAATCCTGCCTCAGTCATGTAACAGACAACTCATTCCCAAATAGAATTATAACCATAGGCCCAGAAGTTAAGATTTTCAACACATATTTTTGGGAGACTCAATTCAATCCATAACACCATTTTAGCTGCACATTCCTCCCCATGTCTTTTCATAGTACCATATGATTACTCTAATTTAGCTCTGATCAAACAATTCTCTACTCTCCCACTAAATTACAAACTCCTTGAAAGTTGAATTTTATTCATCTTTGTGTTTCAGTAGCTAGCAGAATGCTTGGCACATAACATATAAGCAATAAATATCCATTGAAGAAAAAAACCTGAAGGTTGGTTTGAATTCTCAGAGCTCACCCTCCAGACTGAGTTTATTCAAGACTGCTACTGGTAGCATAGTGGCTAA